ACATGAAATATAAATGTCTTGCATTCTTTTTCCTTCATGACAATATGTTAACTGCGTATATTGTTGTATATTTGTGTGTTTACTGTGTCCCTCCTTGAGAATGTGAACTTCAGGAGGGGTGGGAGCACAGGTGCTTTCTCTGGAAGGGAGGGAGGGAGGAGAAAAGCACAGGGTGTCACCAAAGGGGTGTGACACATAGTAAGTGGCCGCAAAACATTTATACAATCCATGGCAACTATACAGAGCTGGGCACCCACCTGACAGCCGTTAGTTAGTTTTTCTGCCTCCAACCCAGGGATGGGGTAGACTGAGGCTGACCGGGAGGCGGGGGAGGGGAGCTGGGGCGGGGCTGAGCCTGGACTGTCTTCTCCATCCCATGGATGAGAAAGTCAACATCAGCCAGTTCCCCACAGCCGGACACGGGTCCTGGGTCTGCAGATGGTTCTGGTGATGCACAGATGTGGCCCTTAATAACACTGAGTGACACAGGGAGACACATGTCCCCTTCAGGTTCTTCTTTAAGCCTGTGACAACTTCCAAGAGAAAGTGTCAGTGTGGCCTGGCCTCTCCATAGCCCACACTCTTACTCCTTTACACCGAGAGCAGGCCACAGGTCCACGGCCTTCAGCAGGTGATGGGACCTACTTAGAACTTAATAGTGTTGTTTTTGTTGTGATTTATTTTATGTATTTTTTTTTCTCACTCTGTCACCCAGGCCAGTGTGCCGTGGTGTCCGCCTAGCTCACAGCAACCTCAAACTCCTGAGTTCAAGCAATCCTCCTGCCTCAGCCTCTTGAGTAGCTAGAACTATAGGCGTGCGCCACTATGCCCAGCTAATTTGTCTATTTTTTAGAGACGTGCCCAGGCTGGTCTTGAACTTCTGAGCTCAAGTGATCCTCCCGCCTCAGCCTCCCAGAGTGATGGGATTACAGGTGTGAGCCACTGCTCCTGGCCTGTAATTTGTTTTTCTAATACTCTTTCATATTAACAAGTAATTTATTTCTGTTTATAGTAGCAGATGGTAGGTTTCCTTTTTAAATGCATTTATATGAGTTTTAAAAAGTGATTTGATTTAAAGAAAAAAGTAAAAAAATCTGCACAGAAGGTAAATGTAACTGATTTAATGTATAAAGGTGACATATGGTGGTATCTGATATGACCAGAAAAACTCAAAGGTGGTGTGTGAGTGACTAACGTTTAGGATCACTGACACAGCCCGTTGTTTGATTAGAAGCGATGAATCAGTTCTCACGTTATAGGCGGAAGGAAACTTTTGTCACAACTGCATTCCCTTGGTGTCCTAATTGTCAATATTAATGAGACTCTTATCTATCTACATCATACAATCTTGATAATTCATACCCTTTATCTAGGAGCAGATGCCATAGAACACTGAATCCATTCATTCATTCATTCATTCTGCAAATATGTACTGAGCACTTACAATGTGCTAGACACTCTTCTAGATCCTTAGGAATCTAGGATTCTGCCCTTAGGTAACCCATCTGCTGGCAGGAAGAGGCAGACAATAAACAATGCTATCTGATGTCATGAAAGTAAATGATGAATCAGAGTAAGGCGGGGGGACAGAGAGGTGCAGGTGCCATGTTCAGCAGGGAGGTGAGGACGGTCCTCTGAGCTGGTGCAAAGGCACTGAAGTAGGAGCATGCCTGGGTCAGCGTGGCTGTGGCCGAGGGAAGGAGGGACAGTGACGGGAGATGAGCTCAAGGAGGTAATGGGGCGAGAGCAGGCAGGGCCTTGTGGACCAATATGAAGACCTTGACTTTTAAGCAAGAACCAACTGTAGGGGCAAAGTGGAGGCGGGGAGCCCTGTCAGGAGGCTCCTGTATGCGTCCAGCCCAGAGGGGATGCTGGCTGGACCTCGGTCACAGTGCTGGAGGTAGACAGAGCCTGGAGAGTTCAGAGGAAGAGCCCCAGGATTTGCTGTTGCTCAGCTGTGGGGTATCAGAGAACCAGGAGATTCGATCATGGTTATTGGGCTTGTGGCCTGAGCAAGAAGAAGGAGGGGGTGGCTTCCAAATTACATGAGAGCATCTGGACAGCCACAAAGTTGATTCTAGGGCATTAATTGTCCCCATGTATAGATAGGGAAACTGTGGCACAGAAAGGTTAAGTAACTTTCCCAATGTCACACAGCTGGTATGTGGCAGAGCCAGGATTCAAACCCAGGCAGTCTGGCTTCAGCCTCAGAGATGTTATATTTGGAAAGCAGAAATGTTCATAATATTTCAAATTTTCTTCTGAGTGTGACAAAGATCTATGCTGACTCCAGCCTGGCACTGACCTGGCCCCCTCTCTATGACCCTTTGCTGGAAGGCTTTCAAGGTACAGTGAGATTTAGATGCTAATGTTTCACGGAATCTATTTACAGTATTACAGAATAACCAATTCAACTTTTGTTCAAACTGGCCCCTCTACAACACGCTATCGGAAATAGCAATGTGGCACGTGGAAACGGTACACATCTGTCCCTTCCCCACGTGGCCCTGGCTCCGAAATTAGATCTCAGCACATCTTGTGCGCATTCCCGCTTTGATCCAGGACCTCATCTGAGCCAGAATGAAATATGTCACATTTCATTCATAAGAGACATGATTAAAACAGACAATCAGTTATGTTGGGAGATAACACATTTCCCTAGGCCTAAAAAAAAAAAGTATTTTAAGAGACTGAATATATTTAACTCAAACAGACAATAGCCAGATCATGAACAATGGGTCTCTGACCCGCCGCCTTGCAGCAACTAGTCCAGGAAATCCAACCACAACCTCTGCAGCGATCGGCCCAGAAGGGTCAGGACTCAGTCCCTGACTCCTGGCTTTTCTTTTTTGTTTCTGCTTCCAACTCAGAGCCAACCAGAGACAGCCAGGCACGCTCCCTAAGCCCATCACATGAGATGCCCGCTTCTGGTTAACCTGCCTCTAGCTCCCCAGGGCCGAAAGCCTCCAACCCAAGCACACCTGGGACCTTCCCTTTCCCCCACTCCTCTGCTTGCCTTTGAGTCTCTGCCAAACAGAGCGATGGAGGCCGACTCCCCTTCCATAGTAGGCTCTGAATAAATGTCCTCTGTTGTCTGTTGACAGAGTTTAATCAGTTGATTCATGTAAAGAACTTACAACGGGAGCTGGACCATCCTTGGTCCCCAGTGAATGTGACCTACTGCTACGTGCGCCCTTCCCAAGGCCAGCGGTGTCTTTCCCAGCCAGACCCGTGGCTTCCCTGACCATCTTTCTTTCCTGTCTTCTGACTTCTCATCCAACAAAGTTCTCACCACACCAGAGATAGCAAATAAGTTTAGTCTTATGTGTCTATAGCCATCACACCATTTATGTAAAACAAGAGTTAAATCTATATTTCTTTATGAACATATATGTATGTAAATGCACATTTTTTTACTCCCAGAACTTTTTTTTTTAATTTCATTATTTCTTGGGAAAGGATCAGAATGTAGGAGGATTCAAGTGAAACATTCAGTTTATTTGGATTCTTTGAATCCTTTATATGAATAAATGCATGTATCATTTGTGTAAATTTGCTACCTGGTAATAGAAACCTACTTTAAATTCTAGCCATCTCCATAAGAAAAGTCTTCGGTTTCAGGTACCTTGGTGTCCTCCCTGTCCCCATAGGTCATATTTATTCTTAACTCTTTCCCCTTTTTCCAGGCTCTAACATTTATGAGACACTACTTCCCTAATGCCTCAGTACTGCCTTCTTGCCTTTTCAATTACCTACTAAGTATTTCTTTATACCTCGTTAACAGTTCTTTATATTAAATTCTTGCTTTTACTAGACTCTTGTGTTCTTAGTCTCCTGATTGGACTCTGCTCCCCCAATTTTGAACCATTCTTTCTCTGTCCCCAAATTCCAATCATCCTTCAAGATCCAGCTAAGAGGGAAACTTCTCTGCCCACTGAGGCACATGCCACCCTCATCCCTGAATTCCTGCAGACTTTGTAGTCTCTGTTACTCAAGTGCAAACATGATCACCTGTTGCAGGAGTTGGCAAACGATGGCCCGTGGGCCAAATTCAGCCCTCTGCCTGTTTTTGTCAATAAAGTTTTATTGGAGCACAAGCACACCCATTCATTTGTGGCTGCCTTCATGCTACAACAGCGACCTGAGTAAGCACCAGAGAGATGATACGGCCCACGATGCCTACTTACCATCTGACCCTTTCCAGAAAACGTTCTCTGGCCCCTGGTCTATTATTTTGCATGGCTATATCACGTTTTGAGTTTCTCACTCCCCTGGACACTGAGAACTGCAGATCTCTCAGCACACGACAACTCCGTCCAAACCTCAGCTCCAGGGGACTTGACCAAACCCCAGCACGGCTTCCAGCAGCATAAGGCTGTTGCATAGGACGACCTCAGCCCCCTGAAAGTGCCTGCCTGAGAAAGCACAACGTGGCCGGGGGGATTTGCCGTTTGTTCCAGCCACCCACACCTGATGATTGGGCCCCTGACCTCCCTCTCTTAGAGCACTTACTGAAAGGAGCTTGTAACTGTAAATATGTGTCTCTTGCCACTAAGAAGCATCTCTCTCCAGGACCATTCTTGTGAAATATAATCATCAGTAAAGACAGAGCCTCTGTCTCCCAGCCTCTCTGGGAGGATCAAACCCTAACTCTGCTAACGGCTGGCGGGCTGGCGAGCAGTTGCAGCTGGCCCCACTGCATCCGCACTGACCCTTCCTTGGCGCTTTCACTTCTCTCACTCTACTGAGCGTCCCCTCCCCTCCCTCATCCTCCCTTTAAAACACTCAAATCGCCCCTGCACCCATCCATCGGAAGGGAGCTCACCTCTCTCCCTGCTGTCAGTAGTCACTGAACAACATCTGTTTTTGCAGCACTAGCTATGTGCAGCTGCGTTTATCTTTGGCGAGATTCAGCGAATGATCAACACCCATTCTATTAACTGACAGCTCATTACTCATTACTTTGTTTCCATCCCATCCAATCCGACAAAGCCTCTTACCTAAGCGTGAACTGGTCTGCCACAGAGCCACTGGTGAGAGAGACCAAAAAGGTGGCCGTGTCCCCTTCCCGGACTAGGTTCAGAGGTACTGAGATGACGACATTCTCATCCAAGCTCACCAGGGACCACTTCAGGTCATCCTGCGTCGGGTAGACCACCACGCTCCCGATCCTCTCGCGGGCGGGAAATGCCTGCTGGGGGCCCTCCTGGCCCGAGTGGATGTTGTTCTCCCACTTGCCTTCCTCCTCCAGTGGACACTGGCCGGCCTCGTCAGCCGGGTAGAGCGTGAAGAAGAGCTCCATGGCGGTGCCCCCCAGCAGGGCCGGGATCTCCTCCTCGGGCTCCAGGTCCAGGCCGGAGCTGAACCACTCGGGCAGCAGCTCCAGCTCAGCCACGCACAGCCCCGGGGCCCCTTGCAGCCGGCAGCTGGCGGCCACTTCCCTGGTCTCGGGGAAAGCAAACATCTTGACGCAGGGCAGATCTTCCGCGGGGTCGCTGTCATCCCAGCCCATGCCGGTGACGTAAAACAAGGTCTGCACTTTGGGTCTGTTGGAGTAGATGGAGCTGTCCAGGATGTGGGATTTCAATTTCCAGTTGAAGGGAAACTTCTCCATGTTTCCAAAGGGCGTAGGCATCACCAGGAACTCCCGGGGGATGGTCTTCTCCACCGAAAACGGGCCATAGCTGGCGTTGACAATGGGGGGGCTCCTGGCCCGGTAGATGAAGAAGGGCTCCACCCGTGCCTGCAGACTGGAGTTCCTGGTCAGGTCCTGGTTGGCTTCCTTGAGGAAGAAGGACTCCTCCGCGTTGGAGATGTGCAAGCTGGTGGGGAGGTAGGCCGGCAGCGAGGAGAACCTCTGCAGGCTGTCTGCCACCCCGCGACTCTCCATCACTGCACAAGAGAGGAAAGCAAAAGAACAATAAAGCCGTGTTCTGATGCACCTTGAGATCAACGCAGTGCAGTCTCACCCACTTCCCCACAGACCGCCCGCCGGCCACACCGTTCTTGCCCTGGGCCTCACCACAGCCAAAGTCCTGTAATTACATCAAGCACATTCCTCAGGATCTTCCCGGAACACCAGCCCAGGGTGGGAAGGGACCCGTTTGCCACTGACCCTGTAGTCCTTGGGCTGGTCAGTGACCTGCCGGGGGAAAAACATTGCTTCCTCCTGCAAAGCCCCAAACTCAGAGGATCGTGGTCCTCTGCGTCGTTAATCACGCCACAGAGAGTAGGTTCCACACCTACCGAGCCACCGATCGGGCAACGCACCGCCGAATGTGACACTGTAATGCTGCGTTACTTGGCATCTACGCTTGTCCCCATCACTCTTATATGGATGTCTACTTGGACATGGAAATGAGGGCGAAGCTATGGCTCAGGGTTCCCGCTTCTAGAAATCTCTCCCTCCAAATGACCAGTGAGAATTCACAAGATGTATCTACATGGGACGTCCGCCGCAGCATCGTTTAGAACTGCAACCAAACAAGCCTAAGAGCGAATGTGCGGGGCCAGAGGCCTGGGTTTGGGTCCTGACTCTGCCACTTCCTAACCTCGAGCAAGTGGCTGGACCTCTCTGTGCGCAAATGTCCTCATATAAAGTAGGATGTAAATATCAATTCTACCTTTTTGGGTTGTTGTAAGGACTAATGAGTTAATAAATATGACATGCCTACAACAGTGCTGGCACACAGAAATGCTCAATCAATATTTACCTGCTATTATTATTACTCTATATCATTTGACTTCACACTAAAGGTTGGTCAATAGGAGATTAAACTATATAAATGTTTTACAGTGAAATAGTAGGCAGCTGTAAAGAACACGAGATACAGATTTATGAATATAAATGAAAAGATGCCCACAGTATCTCATTAAGTACAAAAAAATTTTAAAGGTGTCATTTATGATCCTATTTGCGTAAAATTTTAAGATTCTATATATACATACATAAATGTATAAATATTTATGTTTGCGTGTCTATAGAAGCTGAAAGAGAAAGATTTTTGCCTTTTGTCATTTGTTTTTACTTTCTTTTAATATGTTACCACAGCCATATATTATTTTGTTAATTAAAATATATAACATGCTTAAACATGTACATGTGTATAAATGCATGTATATGTGTGTTTCTTAGCGTGTGCTGCTTTCAAATGCAAACTCACAGACAGTGAAGACCCAACAAGCTTTTTCAAAGTGAAGACAACCCACCAGGAACCTGGGTCAGCAAATCGGGCCAAGAATAGACAGAGATTTTTTTTTGTCTTGTCCTGAAATAAACCTCCACCACTGGAGTCCAGTTTTCCAACCAATGCAAGAAGAAATGGGACCCAACAGTGGTGTTTACTATGTTGCATCACTAGAGAAGGAAACTGCAAATAAATCCCACTCCATCGCCTCTGACTCCTGGTTTCACGTTTTCCTGTAGCCATTACAAATTCTGAAAAATATAGCTTTCTATTGATTTAAATATTTTTGGCCAGTTCAGGGCTGTTCTCAGTGAGCTCTCCTTTCCTCAAGGGTTACAAAATTGTAATTAGGAGACTGTGAGAAAGACACAGCCCACATAGGGGCTGATGCATCTTCCCTCCAAGAAGGCGTTCAGAAAGCAAGTTCCCCTCAACTGTCATCAACATGACCAGTCCCGTGTTAGATTTATTTCTGGAGGAGGATAATTGCCTATTCATCCCTCCAATTATTTCTCTAAATATATTTATTATTCACTTATTATGTTTCCAGTACTGTGGCATGTAAGCATAGCACAGGGACGAGACAGACATGGTTTCTGCCTCCCAAGGAACTGGCAAACTGTGCAGAGAACACAGCTAACATTCAGAAAGCAGTTATGAAATTGGACATTAAGACTCTTAAAAATATCCATCCCAGGAATTCAGCTAGGAATTTGTTCTAAGGAAATAATCAAGAGAACAAGAAGGAGATTAAGGTGCAAGTACGTTCATCACAACCATGATGCATAACAGCCACACCCTGGAAGCAACCCAAAAACCTGTCATTAGGGAAATTATTACATAAGTGATTAAAACCACGCTGTGTGTGATATTAAACTGCCATCAAAACCATGATTTCAACAAATCCATAGGGTCATAAGAAAACACATGTTAATTGAAAAAGAAGAACTCAACACTTCTTAAAAATTATCTCAAATCTGTTTACACACAAAATGCCCTCTTTTAATACATGCCTCCAAAATGTAGCCACATAGGTTGGGCAGGATTTGGATCAAAAGATAAAAAAAGGAGAAATGATATTGAAGAATTAGCCTCATCTAAAAGAAAGTTTTAGCAGCTGACGCCACCAAGGGGCAATTTGTGTTTTGACAATGACAAGCAGCACAATTCCAGATGAAATTTAAATTAGGTTTTTTGTTGGTGGTGGTTTATTTTCTCCCTCCAAACCAGGAAGTTAAATTCCAGGTGAATTTGCTCATGAATTGATTGACAACAAGAGCACAGTCAGCAGGGAGCACCTGCCTCATGCAGCACGAGAATACCCTTCCACCAGGCTAAGTGGCTCACAGCCCACCAGATTTGGAAGTGGGAGGTTCAGATGTTATATTCCCATAAACTTAGAAGTCCAATGCAAGGTTTAAATCCTGATTTATTTACAGATGTGGAAAGAGAAATTAAAATAAATGCAAACTTTCACGCTCTGTTTTCATTGTGGATTGGTTTATTCTTTTTTCATCTTTTATGTGGGTATTTTACACCTTGCAAAAATTGATTTACAAGAAATTTAAAGCTATACCTTCTCTTCTTTATTGTAGCCAAAGCCTCCATTTTATCTGAAATGGCAGTGTGAGGTTTACAGTCCTGTCCTACCATAACTCAGGCAAAATGCAATACAAATTATGTCTGAAAACTTATAGGGAAAGCCATAAACATCAGCTGCCAGGGCCTCATTTTGTCTTCCAACTGGATTGTAACAAAATACGATGTCCGAATTCAAGAGCGTTTTATGACGCCATGGGACGGTGTCCTGAGAGATGCACCATGGCCTCAGAAGCGGTGCCCTTCCCTTTAATCGCAAAACGTCATGTAGCAGCACCTTTGTTTTTCCCACTGGCAGGTAGACTATGTGGCCCGCATTCTGAATGTGCAATGAGGCCCTATTCAGTCCCTCTGCCTGTTTACTAGGGAGCCTGTCACCACCAGTTGGAAGGAGGTGGGCCCTGAGAGCACAAAATGAGGAAGGCTCAATGAGGCCCTGCTGAAAAGGGCCCCTCATCGCTGCCCTCCCTAGGAACCAAGAAGAGAATCCAGTTCAGGTTCAGAGAGAGCACAAGGTATGCGAGACAGAAGCTCTGTGGCTAAAGGATGCTCTGACTCAAAACGCCAATGGCAGATGTCTCCAAGGAAGCGACAAAGAGAGCTTCAGGCAGGAGGGAGGGGAGGGGATTAATATTTTCCTAGAGTGAAGCGACTCACAAGGCACTGGGAATCCTGGCAGCGACTGGTGACCCAAAGTGAGTGGGTGGATGTCACTGCTGTGCTTGGCACCCAAAAAACATTCCTGGACATGGGCCTTGGTGAGGACCACTGGGACCTGTAGCCTTGAACCCCAAGATGGAGCAATAGTTCTAGTTCCGGCTTCTAAGTTCTAATAACCCAACCTCTTCCCTTTTTCCCTCCAACCCAAAAGATAGTAACAGCTTCCTGCTGTTATTAATTTCTAGATTACTTTACCACACCCAATTTGCTTTCTCAGATGTTCCATCACCTGAGAAACTAATTCCCTTTATTAAAACCTCTCTGTTAAAATACCTAGAGGGATTTCTGTTTTCTTGGCCAGAGCCTGACTAATATATCCAATCACTAGTCACTTCCTCCTGTTATATTCCTATCACCATGTGAAATCAGCCTTTGTATTTTTACTTGTTTACTTATTTACCATCCTTTCTCTCTACTAAAATTCAAGCACCATTGAGAGTCAGTAGACGTCAGTAGAGACTCTGACGTCCCATTTACTGCTAAATCTCCAGTACCTGGCAGGAGAAATTACACAGATGTTTTTGCTGTCTGTCAGTTAAGACTGCCTTGGCTTAATGCTTGAGAGAAGAAATCTCTCTGTGTTCTTTCTGAGTTTCTCTTTGGCTTCGTCCCAGGGTTGTTAATAGATACCATTTTTATTAACATAGCATTTGTCTATCACACTATCACTCCATTCATTTCCTCCTCAAATATCACATCGCTGTGGTCACTAAGCTGGCAGCTAGGTTTGCAAAGCAAAAAGCTAAAATCCTCAAACGGAAAGAGAAAATATCACTTAAAGGAGAAACATGCCATTTACAGGCTAACACACTTAGGTATATGTACCTGCTATGGCAGTTGATTATCACAACAGTTGTAAGATGGGTAATCTTAGACCTTTTTAAAAAATGATGAAAATTGAGGCATTGAGGAATTAAGCAATTTTAATATGGTCAAAGTTAGTATTCAAACCAGCTCTCTCCAATACCAAAGTATTTCCACTTCTTTGTATTGCCTGCCTGGCCTGGAAGGTCTACAATGAGGCCAAGGGGTTAGCCATGTGGAGGTCATCTGAATGTGTCGTGCTCACAAGGCCAGGTTCATGGACACAATTGCTGTATACCCAGTGAGGTTTTCATTGCTCTGTGGTCACAAGTGACTGTTATCTCGCTTCTCAGGTACCTTTTGCCAGCTTGGACCCCCAGGTAGAGCAGGAAGATAGGTATAGCTGGCCCAGAGCACCTCAACTCAGCTCCTAGCAAAACAGCCAGTGATCCATGCCTTTAAGGTAGTGATAAATGTGGCAGAACATTACTACCTATAAACATCCTTATATAACCCAGAGCCTCATGAGGAGTAGGCAGTGCAACAATATAGACCAAATGCTCTTTCAAGGAGGCTGGTTGCAGGTGGTCGTTTATCCATTAACAACCAGCTGAGTGGGGTGACATTGTAAATTTCCATTCAGTTTGTCCTTTCAGTCATTTCTATTCCTGCCCCCACTGTATCCCTTCCTTGTACCCTGGAGAACAGAGCCTTCCTTCCACACTTTGAAACACGAGTCACTCACTACAGAACCAAAAAAGAAAGGTAGCAGATACTTGGATGTTGGATTCAAAAGCCACGAGTATAAAAGCAAGATGGGAAAAGTCAGGTGAGTTTCTCCCTTTCACAACTAAATAAAACATATCACAGGCTAGAAAGGAAGGAGAGACCATGGCTGGGCAGGAGGAGTGATGTTTGCCTTTGTCCCAAGTTTCTTTTCAACTTTCTAGCTGGGCAGCCCTGTGTGGCCAATTTGGGGTTCATAGGAACAGGAAGCAGATACGAAGCAAACAGGAAGCAGATGGAGAACAGACAGGAAGCAGAGAGGGAGCTGCAGGAAGTAGACAGGGGCCAGCAGAAAGCAAACAGGAAGTAGGCAGGGGTAGACAGGAAGCAGGCAGGGAGCAGACAGGAAGTAGACAGGAAGCAAGCAGGGAGCAGACAGGAATCATACAAAGAGCAAATGAGAAAGTGCAGGTGACTCCTCTCAGCTCCAGCTTTGCATTCTCCTCTATCTCCCCCTATTGGCAGAGCCTAAAAAGGACCAGCTGGAAGGGCAAGTTTGGAACTATGAGTCAATAACCTTAAAAATGGCACATCCCATTTAACAGAGGAGGAAACTGAGGTAAGAGGGGTTAAATCACACACCTAGCAAACAATGGTGGCAGGACAGGAATCCTGGCCAACCGGCTCCATAGTGTGCATTGCTAACCACCACTCTATACTGCTTTGCACTAAGGAAGTTGCAGGAAGAAAAAAGTCATAGTCCCAGAACTCTAGGATGCTCCATAATTCCTCCCTGGTCCAAAGGAAAGCATGAAGACCCTAGGGAGGTATATAAAGTAAAACCTAAAAGGTGGGGAGTTCTTAGAGAAGAAGCCAGGAATCCAGAGTGGCTTGTCTCTATCGGAGGCTGTGACATGGTGCTAGGTATCATGGAAAACTCCTAGGTAATGCAGTCTGTAGAATGATCAACAAAATAGAGAATACAGGAATAACATCGGTTCTGAGGAGAAAGATAAGGAATTTAGTTTGGACATATTTTAGTTAAGGTAAAGAGAAGATATATATAGGGAGACAGCTGAAAATATGAATGTGGAATCCAGAGGAGGTAGAGCCCTAATTTGTCTCCCCACAAAAGTAAGCTCTTTTTAGACAAAGTGCCCCATCATCAACTACCCCTGTATTCTCTCAGACAAGGATTCTTAACCCTGGCTGCATGAACATATGTATTATCCTTAGATCCACTCCCCCAGAGTATATTCAAATGGTCTCGGAGCCCCAAGATTTTTCTGTGTTCACTAGATGATTCAAATGAACAGCAGTAGAAAGAATCGCCATTCTAAAAGTTTAAGGACACTACTAGGTACATAGGCACTTTGTGTATATTCATAAAATCGTCAAGGCAAGAAGAGCCACTCTTGAGGTAAGTCTTGGATCATGTACCACCAAGTCCACAAAGGATTAGAGATGCCTTTGTAAGTTACAGTGATGAAAAAGATATGGAAAAATAAGAGCAAATGGAAATTAGAATAGAATAATCATTATCATTTATATAATATTTATTTACCAAGCAGTATTCTGAGCATTTTGCAGGTATTAAAATGATTATCATCATTATAGTCACCATCCGCATAATCCTTATTATAGACCAAACACTATTCTAAGCATTTTATAGGTATTAACTCTTTTAATCTTGACAATCTTTTCATTATGAGTATTTGGATATTATCCTCACTCATAGATGACGAACCTTAGGCACAGAGCAGTTAAGCGACTTGCTTAAGATCACATAGCTAGTAAGAGTCAGAGGTGGAATCTGAACCAAGAAGTCTAGCTCCAGGCAGAATTCAGACTGTTAGCCACTATGCTCTGCTGCCAGAGGAAAGCTCAGATAGCAAGATCTACCTTGTAAGAGCTTAAGAATGACTAAAGGGAACTGTGAGTGTGGCTCTGAATTGCTCACCGCTCAGAGCACAAGATTAGATCACTAGTTGGAAACTATCCATAAGATGAAAGTAAGGAGCAAAGCTTTTCCCAGTGCTAAGAGAAATTCCTGTGGTGAGAGCCCCCACCTGGCCCCTGGGTGGCAGACAGCATTCCCACAGCACATCGAGAATCTATTAGGATGCTTCCGTCGTGGTCCTCCATGCAAGGCGAGGCTAGAACAACAAAGGATGATGAAGTGAATGCAGTTCTGCAGAGGACAAAGCAGTGTGAGCCACGACAGCTGACTGCTTTGGGATGGACTGGCTCAGTAGAAAAATAAAATCCAGAAAAATGATTCTACAAACTCCTACCTTCTCCACTCTCCCCATGAATGTGCTTTCTTCCCACACCAGCCAACATCTTAGGAAGAGTCAAGAGGCAGAAAACTTGAGACTATATTCTGGGAGTACAAATATTCTACCTAGATAATCAAAGGCAAATGCACAAGATTTAAAACACAACCAAGAGTATTGATCTTTTCTTTTATGATTTCTAGCACCGCTTTTATGCTGAGAAAGTCCTCCCCAATATCCCAAGATCAAACACACACTCACCTACATTCTTGCCTAGGTTTCTGTGGATGGTGTCTGTACATGACTGTGTGTCTCCACACTTTCATATTCAATTCTTCAATCCATCTAAAATTTCTATTGGTGTATCATGGGAAGTGAGAATCTGATAGAAGTTAAAAACTAGCATGCACTGAATTCAGTCAGCAGAAGGATCTTACGTGACTTCACAGTTTGGGTTTATTTTAATTGAATTTGAATGCTTTGTGTCAGGGTGCACACACATTCTCCACTGTTCTCCAATTCACTGACACCCACTCACACCCCCTCTTTTCATTCATTCATGGTATATGCCTCAGCCTTGATCTTAGAGATAGCTTCCCCAAATAGCTAGCCACTGTCTCCAAACCATGTTTGTATAGCTTATCCCTCTCCCACTGATTTCTAATGCTCTCTGTCTGAATATGTTTCAGTCCTTTATAGAAACCAGAGTCTACTTGTGAACTATTTATTTAGCTCCTTCGCTCTGAGACTATACTCACGCCAATACATTGTAGCTGAAATTAATGTGGATTTACAACATAGTTCATTACTTAAGAGTGTTATGGACTGAATGATACCTCCCCCAAATTCATCTGTTGAAGACCTAAAGAATGTAGTGTATTTGGGGATAGGCTCTTTAAATGAGGTCATTAGGGTGGGCCCCAATTCAATATGACTGGTGTCCTCATAAGAAGAGGAGATTAGGACACAGACACAGAGAGAAAAGACCCTGTGAAGACAGAGTGAGGACACAGCCATCTACAAGCCAAGAAGAAACCTCAGAAGAAACCAACGCTTCTGACACCTTGCTCTTGGACTTCTAGCATCTAGTATGTAAGAAAATAAATTTCTGTTGTTTAAATCATCCAATATGTGATAGTTTCTTATGGCAGCCCTAGCAAACTAACACAGATATTGATATTCTTTATCAAAATTCCATTAGTGAGACTTTCCTGTTTTCTGTCTTCCAAGTTACCTTCAGAATCATTTGGTTAAGTTGCCTGTGCCAGGACTCAAATGGACTCTTATCTGGAGGTGAGAATCTGCATGTTGGGACTGTGGATGCCTTTCAGCTTCCTGCAATATTTTTCTATGTATTTTCAAATTTTCTAGAATGAACATGTGCTGCTTATTCAATCTAAGAGAAATATTGACATTCTTCCTTTTAAAAGAAAGATATAGAATTTGATTTCAAGTGGCAGGCTGAGCACATTCACTCACTCACACATCTCCACAGAAACCCAGCTGAACAAAAGCATAAAAGTACAAAAAAGAAAAAACCTATTACCCAGAGAAATGGAGGAGGGGCATCTGCAAAATGTGAATTTTTATATCAATAAAGCTTTTCTAAGAAATTAAAAAAAAAATATTTCAACAAGTGCATGAAAGATAATAAGTGTATAAAAGGGTGTTGATGGGCAAGACAGCAGAGGAAACCTTGAGCTAGAACATTCTGCATGTGCTGCAGAAGGTCTAGCGGATCCTGTGCCTGTTGGGATCCCAGACGGGCTCTTGACTCCATGTTGGCACAAGCAGTGAGGACAGGAGTGGAAAACGGGGCTGCTAGCAAGGGGAGTAACTAAATTCTGTAGATGGGACATCCACCCCAGGTGCACCTCCTCCCTATGCCCCAGCCTGAATGAAAGATAAAATTCTTGGTGTTTGAAGAACTCTTCAAAAAACCAACTCTTCTCTAAGAATATTGGATTAGCCCTCCAGAGAAATGTCAGGCATCCAAGTGTGGGTGTTGGTGCTCACCCAAGAGGGATGGAGATAGAGTAGCCACTGTGCAACCACAGGGACCAAAGTCACACACAGAGCACACGATTCGGGAAGATGGAGGAAGACAGAGGAGCCAGCCACAACGCCAGGTAAGAGAATAAATAAAATAAAATCCTGCTCACCTAAGCCACTGTGGCCAGGGTTTCTGTTACTTGCAGCCGAACATGATCCTACATGATAAAAAAAAAGAAAGAGGTTGCATAAATCAGCTAAATCCTCGTCTTTTACAGAGAGAGCACTGCTGTCCAAGTTGATGAACTCAAAAATTCAAGGTAGGTGAATAGCTATAGAAGTAATCATGAGAAGTAATCATGAGCCAGACGTGGCTGGCTTTGGGGATGGAGGTTAAGGATACAGAGGAATGGGGCGCTATTGAGACCATTTTATTTTTGCCACATTCATGCGTGACTTGGAGGATGAATAGGGCTTTGCCTGCATGAACCCAATCCTAGCCGAGCAGGGGAGGACAGCGTGGGACGGAATACAGGAAACCTGAGCATGGGAGTGGGGCGTGGGGAGTGCCCTTAATCTGGACATCAGGCATCACCTGCCTGGGTGAGACGGCCACCTGCCATGGGGGAAAACAGAACCTCCCCACCCATCTCACTGCATACAGCTGCTGAGCTAGGAATTCTTCCAGCCTCTCCTGCATCCACCTGTGGCCACCTGACTAGTTCTTGCCAATGAAATGCGAGCAGAAGTGTCACATATCACCAAAATTGATAGCTTCTACCTTCCACCAGTGAGGAACAAGAGACACTGAGACCCTGGGGCATGACAGAGCCCTACGCTGGAAGGAGCTCGGGGCCCGGAATCTCCACGTGGAGGAACGTTGCCTGCCAGACATGAACACCCATGTCGGCTGCGAGCAAGAAACAGTCTTTTATTGTGTTAAGCCACTGCAGGAGGTTTATTTACTCCAGCAGCTCGTGATAACCAAATCATACAACATCGTATAGGCTTACAATTTGGACAGCGGTGGTTCCACCCCTACTAAAAAGTTGAAACAAATTGCATAGCACTTTCTTAATGTAAACTGTGCTTTTGTTAGCAAGAAGGAGATAAAGACACCCAGAGAAACAAAAGCGAAGAGCTGTTAAGCCAACATGAGAGATTTCTGCGGAGCACCAGATGTAGAGAGAGCATCAGTAAATGGATTAGAGAGACCGCTTAGTGACAGTAATTTTGACCTCCTATAGGCGCTGTCAGCTGTTAAACAGTAGGAAATTTTGATGACCTTGTTCTAATTTCCATTTATATTTATTCTAAATTGGACACCTTGGAGATTGTTTAAATAAGAGGGGAAAATTCACTAAGTGATCCTGACAGCTCCACCGCTGTCTGAATGGGAGGCAGCGGAAGCTTCCACGCGGCACAGAGACACCTGGGCTGCAGCCCCAGGTCTGCCGTCAGCTCAGTGTATGCACCAAGACAAGTCACTTCATCCCCCTGAGATTCAATTTCCCTCTGTGTCAAATGGAGTGTCACCTGCTGCCACCCATCAGGGGTACACCGTGAGGTGACCCAGCAGGGTGACTCGTTACTGTGCAACTGCATTCACAGGACTGTCACAGGGAAGCTCATTTACCTGGACTTCTCCCCAGCTCAGACTTGCCTTTCCTTCGTGTGGCCATCACTGAAATCAAAAACTATTCTTTCCTTTCACAAGAAACCCAAACCATGCAAAACAAAATTAGAATTTAAGGGCAGTCATAGCTTGGAAGTCTAGGGACAGCCTGGCTTCGTTTAAACAATGTCATCACCATGCATTTTCACAAGTGTTTTTTCGGTGAGTGAATGGATCAACCGTGGCACATTTGCAGAGTGTAGCACTGCTCAGCGACAAGGAAGAGTAAATGATGGGTATACACGACAACATGGATACGTCTTCAATATACTACCCTGAGTGAAAGAAGGCAACCTCAAAGGCTACTCACTGTACCACTACATTTATGTGACATCCTAGAAAAATCAGAACTAGAGGGATCAGAGCAGATCAATGATTGCTAAAGATTAGGGTCTGGGGAGACTATGGCTACAAAAATTCAAAATGAAGGCATAGGAAGTGGAGTGATGGAGCTGGTCTATGTCCTGATTCTGCTCATGTTTACACAACTCTATGCATTTGTCAAAAACTCATAGAGCTATATACCAAAAAGAGTGATTCTTAACTGAAAATAAATTTTAAAGTTATTTATTTTAAAGACGTATTTTCACCCATCACCTTGCTCTGTATTCCATGAAGCTGACTTTATTGTCCATGTCATAGTGAGATCAGCACTACCTAGCCTCACCTTTTCCTCCCTTCAAATCCAACAAGAACTGGTAAGGGTCTGTTTCTCAGCGTTGCAGGGAACAAAACCTCGGTGCATCTCGTTGTCTCTGATGGGTCGTCTGCCCATCCCTGAACCAATCACTACAGCCATGGGAATAGCCTGCTCTGGCCAGCCAGGGTCTCATTCCCCTGCCAAGAGCCTGGAGATAGAGTCCACTTTAGCCAAAATATGGGAAGCTGTCCCCAAAGCATCATCATGGTACCATTTTGACAAGAAGAACAAAGAAGTTCTAGGAAGGTCCCACAAAAATCTATTTCTCAAAGGAAACAATTTGCACCACGTCTAGACTGATTTCCTACTGCCAGTACCACTCTCAACACCACTGGTATAGAAAAATAAAGATCTGGAATACGGCTGGCGTCGCAAACCAGACGCTTTAGCAGTCGCCCTGCAGAAACGTGTTACCTGTGCAACTTGACGTGCTGCGTTCAAAACACAAGCTGGAGACTCCGAACCCAGAGCCCAAAATAAACCAACATCCACCGAAAGACTAATATGTTTGCTCTAGGATACTGAGTCTTTGAAACTGATCTCAGCGGGAAGTGAGGAAACAGAAAGATAAACAGGGCCAGCTTCGTGGCACGCAAACTGTGCGTCCCCACAGGGCCCCGTGCTCAGAAGGAACCGTGTGTGGTTTCCTGCTCTGCGGTCCTGCTCTTCACCTCTGAAATTCCTCAGCGTCGCATCTCTGAACTTGTGCTTTGTAGGTGAGCTCTCATGGGACGGTGGCGCGTGCACAGGAGAAGAGGAGACATTGCAATATGCCGTCTGCCGTTCCCCCAGCACTCTTTGCAGAGAGCACTCACGGGGCAGAGTCCCAGGGGACCCACGCTATGTGGAGATCAGCAAGACTGATCAGGCACTTACCTGTACCTGAGTACAGGTAAGCATCTTGCACCTGTGACAAGAGAGCAGTGGCGCTGACAGCTTGGGGAAGCCGTGCTTTCTGTTCAAACCACAACTCACTTCAGTTGCAGAAAAAAGGGCAAAGATGTACCAAACACAACCAAGGAACCCAATCCTATTCTTTATTACCCTTGTCCCTTCCTGTGTTAGGCAACCACTTAATGCTAAGGTTGACACACAAGAGATGGCACACATGGGACAACCTAGAACTCCTGTTCCTGTCAGTCCTTTCTTACTCGCCAGGAAGCTGAAGGCAGAGGGTGCCGGTGGGGTGTGCGAGTATCAAGAAATAAAATAAAACAGTTCTGCACGGCATTTTCACTGTTCTGGTAACAATGAAATACACAGGCATGCGCGAGCTACAAAATACAGACTGTGGAACTTTGAAGACTCCGCATATGCCCTCACCGCTCTTATATTCGCCTTTAAAACTGGTTTTCCACAATAAAAAGATAAATGGTAAAATTCATATTCATGATTTAAGATTTAAATTTTCCTTTTGTAGAATGGCATTAAATAGCAAATAAAACCATGACAAGTTGAACAAGAGAGCTCAGAAGGAAGGGGAAAGGCTTTATATTTGAGTACTTTTAATGGCCCTTTTCCCCTGATTTTTGAACAGGAAGCTGCATTTTCATTTTGCCCTGAGCGCCGCAAATCATGTAGCCAGCCGTGAGGACACACGAGTTAACCCACCAGAAAATATAATCATGCCACAATCACCAGCTTCCTCCCAACACTTAGGCCAGAGGTTAAGAAAGCAGGCTCCAGGGACTCTATCTGCGTCACAGACATATTTTATTTTACCTACTCAGTGGTTTTCTAAAAATTGAATTAGTCACACAAAAATCCAGATTCCTGGCTTTTCTTTAAAAATACAATAAGCTTTCACTAGGCTGGGCGTGCATTCTCACCCAGTGACAACCGGCTTGGGCAGCGGCATGGTTGCTGTTCTGCCAAGTCACAGCTTGCCACAGTCCCCGCCACTCCCTGCCGCCCCACTGCAGCTCTCTCACTCACACAGCCCCTGCCTGGCCTCCTGCCTGCTCTCCGGGACGAGCCCAGCACTGGGGACCGCAGGGCCGGGAGGTGGAGACACAACCCCAGGGTCCGGGCTGAGTCACAGCCCCAGACTTAGTTGTCCATGCCCCATGGATGTGATTAATCTCACCTGCCTTATGTAGCAGGTTGAACTATGTCTCCTAAAAATATGTTTTCGAATTCTAACCCACGGTAACCTATAAATGAGACCTTATTTGGAAATAGGGCGTTTGCCAATATAATTAATGATCTCGAGAAGAAATCATCCTAAATCCAATGACAGGCGTCCTTACGTGAGAAAGGACAGGGAGGCTTGAGACGCAGGGACACAGGAGAAGGCCACACGAAGACGGTGGCAGAGACTGGAGTGACGCGTCCACAGACCAAAGAGCGCCAAGGATCACTGGCAACACCAGAAGCTGGAAGAGAGGCCTGGAGCAGATTCTGCTTCAGCGCTTTCAGAAGGAAACACCTCGCCAACATCTTGATTTTGGGCTTCTGGCCTCCAGAATAGGTGACAATATATGTGTGTTGTTTTAAGCCACCAACTTTGTGGTAATTCGTTGCAAAGGCCACAGGAAACTAACACATCTTATAAAATAATAAAACACCATTAACCCAGGCTAGCTTGGCGAATCCAAAATTACTCGTGGAAAATCTTTTGTTCTCTTTCTTATTTTCTTTGAATACAGCCTGCTATTTTCCAAAACATGGAGTAACTAGAGGACGGGAAAACAAACGGTGCCCAGTCTCTGTGGCTGTTTGCTAGAGAACCCGCTTTAGGGAATCTGTAAGACTGTTTTTTAAGGGTTAAGGGGTTAAGCATTTAAACAGCATGACCTCAGCTGCCTTCAACATCCATTCTACAATCCTGTTGACCATCAACA